GGATGAAACTACGATTACCATAACATTTTTTGCATTTCATAAAATTTTCAATAAAAATAAGGATGATTTTCAGTTAGCCCTTTAATAAATCGGACATGGTTTTATTTGGCAGACACAGCACAACAACATCATGACAATGAAATAGCAAGAAGCCAAAGATGTTTGCATTTTATGTCAGAAATTAAGTTTTATTTGACAATAGCCATGCTTCAAAGGACAGTAATTTGTATTTGTAACAGGTGTACTTTAATATTACATGGAACTCAATTCAATTTGCAAGAGTCTTTTACAAAATCTCCTGAGTTTCTCTCATGGTTCCTCTCATTCACATGAATTTTCTTCACAAAGGCTCTTCCGTCTGCTTCCAAGTTCTGCTCATTCATTGTCAGCCAAATCATTTTGCTCAAAATACCTTTAATAGACAGAAGCATGATTATACTTCATAAGAACACCTGCGCATATTTCAGGGAACACTAAATTTGTCTCTAACAACTCCATGTCAGTTACCTGGCAACAATACAAATCATCAAGTTAAGAGCTGACAAACGATCATCGTCTTTGCTCTCCTGGAAGAGAAAAATAATACACCGTCTATTTTAAGCAACATATTTTAGGTTGTCAACAAACAAGCCTTCACTTGTGCAACTGCAACGGAAGCAAGGGAGAAAATAATGATACCCCAGCTTTGAATTCAGAGCAAACCAAAAGGTGTTTACCAGATTGGCACGCACTGCAGAGCACCGTCGTGCCAACTGTCTGATAAGGGAATGTGCTTCAGGAAGCAGCGGTTTCTCAAGGCACGCTAGTAATGCATAAAGCCATCTGCCCTGTGAAGATAAATGTGCAACGTACAGCTAAACTGAGAAAATACAGTTCAAAAATACCTTTTAATTTTAAAGGGAAAAATGCAAAATATTTGATGTATTAGAAACAAAGAAATAAACATTTTATCTCAACTTTTAGAGTGACCTCTTAATTAAATATATCTCAATCGAATAATATCAATGCATATTGGATGTGACATACTGAACTTACCAACTGTGGTACAAAGTCTCTCTCCTCAAACCAATTGATTAAATACTCAAGCACAGCAGAGATGGTTGACTGAGCAGAGAATGCAATGAAATGACAAATAAATATTAGAATATGCGATTTATATGTGAATAATAAGCATATCTGCTGTCAAATGGCAATTACCTGGTTTAGTTTGCTGACAATGCTTAGGAAAGGTGGGAAACCAGTCTAATAAAAAGAGATTCAAGAACATTAAATCAAGACAGAATGCTCAAATTTTG